GGACCGACCCAGATTCGTAATTGAAGCATCCGAGGCCGAAACAATGGCCAAGCGATCCAACCTCACCGTCCTCCAGCTCCTCCCCTCCTTAGTCAACCCCGCCCAGGCCCTCGCCCGCCCGCCCATCTCCAAATTCCACGTCGGAGCCATCGGATACGGGTCTTCGGGTCGGATCTTCTTCGGCGGCAACCTCGAGTTCCCGGGTCTCCCGCTCCACTACTCCGTCCACGCCGAGCAGTTCCTCGTCACCAACCTCTCAATCCACAACGAGTCCAAACTCGAATACGTCGCCGTTTCGGCGGCTCCCTGCGGCCATTGCCGTCAGTTCCTCCAAGAAATCCGCGGAGCCCCGGATATCAAGATTCTAATCACCTCGGCCGAGTCCGGAGATGACAATTCCGGGTTAAACCGGTTTGACCCGCTTCTCCATTTGCTCCCCCACCGGTTCGGACCCGAAGACCTTCTCGGAGGAGACGTGCCGTTGCTTTTAGAGCACCACCACAACGGGCTGTCGTTTTTGGGCGAAACCGAGATTTTAACCAACGATTTTAAACTGAATGCGGAGTTAAAAGTCGCGGCTTTAGAGGCCGCGAACAAGTCTTATGCTCCGTACAGTGGGTGCCCATCTGGTGTGGCTATTTTGGACTGTGATGGGAATGTGTACAAAGGGTCGTACATGGAGTCCGCAGCTTATAATCCGAGCATGGGCCCGGTTCAATCGGCTCTGGTGGCTTACATTGTTGGTGGGGGTGCTGGGTATGAGAAAATTGTAGGTGCGGTTTTGGTGGAAAAAGATGGAGTTTTGGTTAAACAAGAGCACACAGCAAGGCTGCTCTTGCAGGCCATTTCCCCCAAGCTTGAGTTTCGGGTTTTTCACTGCGCTTCGGGTTTGAATGCCTGTAAAAAGTCTTGATCTTGATGACCATGAATGTGATGAGTAATCTGATTGTGATCAAGTGTTGTTGCTATTGGATGAATTATGAATCAATGAAATGAATGAAGGATGGTGATGGTGATGGTGATGGTGATGGTGATGGTGATGGTGATCAATTGTAATGTTTGAGTTTCTAATTTATTTTTAATCACAGATTTCTGTGTACTGGTTTGGACTGTACATAAACCAATAAGCAATAATGTCCTTGGCTGCATGATGCCATGCAAATTGTAATGGATCGACTTTGTTGTAAGTTTGTCACAAAGTATATGAATCTTTTGGGCTTTTTCTCTTTTTCCCTTTTGGATTCTCTGTTCTGGCTTTGTTTTCCTCTCTTCTCAATTTGTGATTTGTTGTCAATCAAAGATTGGAACACAAAAAAATGAACTTATCTAAACAATTAGAGTTAATCATACATTCTCCTCCAATGAATTCTCGGTGTTTTTATTTATAACAAACGTGTGGATTCATATTTCATGGTTTGTTTTCCTTGTGGGATTGTATTTTCCTGTTATAGCAGATTGCTCAGTTGAGTACTTTGCGTTATGAAATTCGCTCTTTTTGACCCTTTTCGTTCCTGTACGTTGCTGTCATGACCTTGTAGATGCTGCCATATGGTGGCTGCCAAGAGCCAAGCTTTTTTCGAAAGTGCTTTTGTTAGCACAGTCAGCCAAACAAAAGAAGAATGATTCCCCTAAGCTCGTGGATGGTGTAGATAGAGTAGCAGTACTAAATTGAATTGGTCCACTCATACTTGCAAATTGATAGGCCTGTGGAGTATCTACTGAGGTGGATTTCCAGTGCACCACATCTTTAAGACACTTTCGCCTTTCTATAAACCTCTAGGAGCTGCTTTGGATTTTAGGTGAAATAAGATGGGTAGGGTTGGTTATATCTGGTGTGTAGGAGGAAGTATCACATCAAAGTTACTAAATTGCTCTGTTTTGATTTGATGCCAGTTACAAGTTGGCATTTCTGTTGTTTTGCTCATCTAGAGGGTATAAGGCTCTTCTTAACGGGCATTCGAAGGTTCTAACATTTCGGCAATTTCATCTGAGGTAGTTGAGTAGTTGGATCAAAATGAGCAGACAAGATATGGCAAGATCTGGGTTGCTTTACATTGTAAATAATGAGTCTTGTAAAGAAAACCAGAGTCTAGAAAGACAAATTCAAGCTAGGGACCCAACCTTTGCACTGAAAGTGACAGAAACCTGAAAAGTGGAGCTTCCAAGCTGTAACATAGAAAACTTCAATCCATTACCATAACCATTACTTTTACTATGACCTAGAAGTTTAGCTAACAAAGAGATAACAAAACCTTCATTACAGTTTGGAATCTCATGCTGTATGCCTGTCTCATTCCAGAGCCAATCAAGTTGAGATGCCAAGAACAAATTTAGTTTACCAAAATATGAAAAGATGCTGCAATCTGAGCATACAGTTCTCTTATCTGACCCTGCAAGGGCCATGTCTCATATCGGTATCATCACGAAGATATAAAGGAGCTTGCAATTTGGTTGAAAATTTCAATATATTATCTAACATGTAGTTCTAGCCTTCTAGGTTACACAATGAAGCTGGAGCATTTACATGTAATTGAATACTTCAAGATAATGAAACAGAGTCCAAAAGCAACTTTGACAAAACCAGTCCACGTGTGTACATCATGTTCCTATCTTCTTGTCCTTCTCGTGCACTAACTTTGGAGGCAAAAGTTGCATCCTTATCTACCCATCAGTCCCCTTTTTTGGTTAACCAATTGACAATGTCGAAGAAAAAGTTGGAGCTGCTTGAACATACTGAAGCACTCTGTTTTCATCAATTCCCATAGAGGAAGAACCTGAAACCTGAAATTGTCTTTTGCATCTTTGCAGTTTCAGGTCCAATTGCATGACACCATTTACATATGAATTTATAAATTTGAGTCCTGTACACGTTTGCAAAATTGGAAAGAAATAGTGCAAACAGTTACAAGTGGTACCTTTTTATAAAAATCAATTAAAAGAAAAGGAAAGAAAGTACAATTCTACAAACAAAAATATGAGGTAAAAAGAAGCCCTTACTTTTAATGATTCCAGGGAATTGATAGTGAAGAAACAGAAATTCACAAGATGATAAAATCACTATTGGGGCAAAGAATAAGAAGAAGAGGCAGCATTTTTCAGAGGCACTTTCAAAGCACGTGCACCACCTGATCCAGGACCAGGCCCCCCTTCTTCATCCACAATGAAGACATCCTCAGGCTCCCTTAAAGCTCCATGAACCAACACAACCCCAAGGCCAATGGAGAGTCCTACAATGATAAGATATTTCGCACTGGTAAGAAAAAGTGCGACGATTGTGACCAACAATAGAGAAATCGTCACCAATCGTTCATCGATCCGGTAGCCTAGAACCATCAAGGGTTGGTCATGCAGGAAATACAGAAACAACCATGCAACCATCGTGATGATGAAGACAATCAATGAAATGGGATGCCATAGTAGGCTTAGGAAGAGAATGAACAATATGATTATGGCATAGTTCATACGAAAGAACACCACGTTGGACTTGATTCTTTGGATTGATTGGTTGAAGGTGGTGGGAAGTGTGAGATCTTGCAGCTGAATCATCTCCAGCCATGGTCTACGTTTGCCAAGCCCCGACTCAATCTGTTCTTTTGCACGTGCAACGAAATGCAGGTTCAAGGAAGGAGGGGGTTCTGTCGGAATAGTCCCGTAAGTTGTCATCGTCCGGTGGCAGGCAGAGATGGAATGAAGAAGAAATGGCATGGAGGTCTGTGGCAGAGAAAGAGTGCAGAATCTGTGCAGCTTGGATTTCTAATTTTAGAGTTAGTTAGATCACTGATCACATATCAGCTACGTGTTGGGTTAATGTTTAAGTTGTTTGACTTCAAATATTTTACTACCAAAAGATGTACAAAATCGTACAAGTAGTTTATACAGAAAATAAAAAAATAAAAAGTGAAATTGGACGGTGCCATTAGTTCCATACAAAGAGACGTTTGACAAGTTCTCTTATTATGTATGAAGGAATTTTCTACATTTTTTTCTTCTTCATGGAATAGCAAATTCTTCTTGGCACAATAAACCTTTGACATTCATCAACCAAAACAACGCATAGAATGGTAGAAACTCTTGAAACAATTTCTGCAACTCTTCTAGGGCAGTCACTGACTGGCTGGGACCTCTCCTTGCTGTACCCTCCACGGCCCTCCATAAAACTTTGGCTTCATAAGAGGCACTGCCTGGCCTGGATGATCCTCCCAGTATTTCTCCTGCACAATTTCAAAGGTGCAGATATTATTTAGGTCTTCAAAATTTGGTATGACTAGATTTATCACCATTGAACTTTGGATAAATAAGTAGACATGTATATCCAGTTAAACCAATTCACCGATACCTTAATCTCAAAAAGATACATAAACTTAACCACTTTCCTAAAAAAGAATGAAGTGAGCTTGGATAAGAATGGAGATCATCATATATAAGCGAGCAAGTGACAAGTCCAGATTAGCTAAGGGCCACTGGCAGGCACATTAAGAGTTGGCACCAACACTTTGTGACACAAATGATGTAATCTGACAGAAAGCCGAAATGAGACCGAATTCTTTGCCAATCACTGAATAGATACAAAAGGAAAATAAACAAATGAAAGAAAAATCTAATGGTAGGTTGTTGACAACCACAAGAATTCTCCTATTGAGGCCAGAACTGAAAAATAGGGCATCTTCCCAGCCCTGTTCCTCTATTCTCTGTGAATATTTTCAAAGATCAGAGCAAATTAGTTTCTCTTTAGATTGCAGCTCTGAGACTAAAAGGCATATGGCAACAACCATAAATTACTGACGGTGAAGTGAACTAGACCTATAGACCTAATCAATAAAGTGTGTAGGAAATTAGGCATCAATGCTGCTCCTTCCAGCTCCAAACCTGTTGACAGGTCTGACAAAGTGACACTCCTCTCATATGAACTCATACAATATATACCTTGAAGCTGGAGAAACAATGCCATAAGCATTATCAAATGGCCTCTCCTAAACTATACATCAATCAAACAAACCCAAAAAGTTTACAACAGATTTCAGTCCAACAAAAAGATTTAAGAAGAAACCGAACTTCGGTGCAGGATTTACTCTATTTCTTATAACACTAGTTTAGGACATGTTCTCACTAACATTAGAGATATAAGCAACTTGACAGATCTCAATCAAACAGGTTTTGAACATTCAAAACGTCTATTTTGTGCACCATTTGATGTTGAAAAAAAAGAAAAGAATCCAACTTTCTCTTCTTCTGAACTACAACACCAGAACTAAAACCCACAAACAAATTTTTGGTCTAGACCCACTAAAGTAACCAAGAAAATTAACAATAATATTAATAAAATAAAATCACAAAAATAGAAGACACAGCAAAGTAATTACCTTGTATAGCTGCTCAGTGATAGCAGAGCCAACGACCCCAGTGTAGAAAGCGGCTACATAGATAGTGACCAAGGGTGTAAACGATTTGGGTCTGCTGTAAGGCTCAACCATGGTCCAAAGAATCATTCTTTCCCACTTTGTGTATATATAGTCTGCATATTTCCTCCATACATAGCTCGTCATTTCCACCAGAATTTCTTGCTCAGCTACAAATGGGTATTTTTGCAGTTTCTCTACAAGAGGATACGTAATCTAGGGTTTTCTTATTATTGGGTTTTCGTTTTTTTTTTCCCCGAATTTTCTCGGCAGCCAGACGAACTATTTCAATCAGCCAAGCCGTCGAAGAAGAAAGGGAAAACCAGTTGCAGTTAGTAGAGACAGACAGAGCATATGTAAAATTTCAAACGGCATGTCGTTCACTGAAGTTTGGGTAAGGAGCCCAGTGAGGCCCAAACAAACACTACACGTACCCATCACAAAACAAAGTTACCTTTTATAGAGTACTATTATTTCCACCCACTAGTCCTATTTCCCCACCCAAACATCTCATGCCATCTAACAAGCCCACAACAAATCTGCAGAAATGGTTGAAGAAATTAGTTAAATGGTAACTTAATTGCTAATCTGGCGGGAAGAAAGAAGGTTGCTGGCAATAGCTCTTTGATTGTGGGTTGGACAGAGTATATATCTTCAGTGTCTTTATTGGATATCAGACCACAAACTGACTGCAATTCCAAATTGTGCTTTCAATTGGTTGCCTTGCTATGCACTCTTCTTTCACTCCAATTTCGATCTAATTCCAATTATCACTCCTGTGCAATCTCACAGAGAGAGAGGGCTGTTTTCCATAAGGACGAGGGGCAGCTTTGGGGAGGTGGGGTTGGGGTGGATTATTTTTTATGTTTTTTAATTTAATTAAAATTTTTTTGCCATAATATTATAGGTTTTGCTTGAATTAATAATGAAGGGATATTTTAGGAATTATGGTGGGTGGAAAGATAGGATTGTGTTTTTTCAAATTTATATGATGGATGAAAAGATAAAGTAGGTGGGGAAATAGAACAGAGAGGTGGAAATAATAGCACTCTTTATTTATTTTGTTTTTTAAATAAATATTTACTGTATCTTTTAATATTTTTATTATTTAGTTGAGCAAGAGAAAAAAAGATAAAGACGAGAAGAGTGAGATAAACAGATTAAAGAGATGATGAGAGAGATAAATAGAGAAAATGATTTTCCAAATAAGCAAAATTCAACCTGATTGTCCGGCTGTTATAAACTTGGAGAAAGAAAGAATCACTCATATCATATATTATGAACCTGGAACGTCTTTGTCCGCAGAATTTTCAAGTAAATACATGACATCCAGAATAAGAATGACAAAGAATGTGGCAGAACAGCAACCTGTGCTTTGCGTTGTTTTGCGTAGGGGGAGGGAGCAAATATACAGAATACAAGTACCAAGCTGACTATTGTGGGGTTTGATACTATGGACCGATTTTCTTAAATACAATTGACTGAGTTGAAGAAGTTCTATGATGAAGCAGATTCCGAAGGCTTGTCCTTTGGAACTGAGGAAGGTTCCAGTACAAGATCTCCGACTCCCTTTGGAGGTCCAATGCTGCAACGAGCTGTGTTGTGTAATGCAATAGCATCCTTTAACTTCTGGAACTGCATAAGATTATGGACACAATCAGGTCACTTGAAATGAAAAATGTATGTGAAATTTCCTAAAAGCATTAGAGCAATACTAAAACTTCAGCATCCACATTACCTGCATCACACATATAAATCTAACACAATGAAAAGAAGATAATGGAAGATGATTGTTTCCAACAGTATGCCATTCAAGTTTACTAATTCTCCTTTATTCAGTTAAACTAATCAGAGTTGGAGTTTTACGCCAACTATGGTTCCCATTTTTCAAAAAGTAGGTACTTCAGAGGGTACAACCAGTTTCTAAGGTGTAAAAAGAAAAGAGATGCTATAAAAATCATAAGATTCAACATTCTTCCCGGTAACCTAAATGATAACACAAAAAAGGAAAAAAGAAAAAAAAGAAAAAGAAAACAGAAGTTCAATAAGTACCTTAGCAAGTGAACACGAAAAGGATTCAAGCTGTCCCTCAGCTCCACGATAAAAGTGGAAATAGGGAAGTACCTTCACGTTCATACTTTTGCACATTGGCTTGTTCTCGTCAAAATTCACTTTCAGGAATAAAATCTCAGGGTGGTCTTCAGCTGTTCTGCAGAGCTGACACATGCATTAAACAACAATATCAGGAACACAGCACCTCAACTATATAAAATCAAGTGTGATACGTTCAACATTATCTAAGTTTCCATTGAAGTGAAGTAGTTTCCAGGAGATTTTTACGAAATGAATTTTTAACATTGAAGGCTTCTTATGTTCCATTGGACATTTGAGCTGAATCTTTGGGTAGTAGAGCCATCTCGCCTCCTCAAAAACATATGTACAGCAATTTGAACTGGGTGATTTCTTGTTTATTTATAACATAGGCGGCATGCAATATAACCAGGAAAAAGTGAAACAACCAAAGAAAACACTCAGCTGACCGGAATTAGTTCCGAGTTCTCCAACAAGACATGCCACTGCTTCCTTGGGTACAGTTGACATCTGGAATCAAACCATTCCAATGAACTTGAAGTCTTACAGTTCAAGTTAGCAAGCGCAAACCAGGAAAGGTTTCAATGACACCAGTCCTATGTATACATGTATGTATTTTCACATATATGCATATGAACATTACCTTCTTCGCCGCTTGTTTAAAAGTCAAACAACTACGGATTTATTGTCTCAGAAGCTATATGAAAGTTTTTTAAGCAGAAAGTAACTAGAAGGAATGAAGATGAATTGACTTTTATTTCTCCAAAAACTGGAACAAAATTATGAAGAAATGTTCAAGTGACAAAGGAGATTACCTTAGGAAATAATGCACGGCAAGAAGCACACCAAGTCCCATAGAATTCTACAATAACTAATCTATCACCAGCTTGGCCTAAAGCACTCAAAAATTCTTGTGTAGAATGAATGTCAACCATATTTGGAACACTTCTTTCCCACCATTTTGGCTGGTCTTTGTCTTTTTCAGCAACAGTTGCCTGTACCTGCATGCACGAAAGGGTACAACAAATACACATTAAGCCATAAGACATTCACTAATTATCAGCTTAGTCCAAAACTTAGGGAAAACTAACAAAAAATAATTTCCAATCGATTTTCCTCTTCCCTTTTTAGACTACCTAAATCATAAAACTTGACAGTAATGTGGGCCTTTCTGGGTGAAGTGAAGAAAAACTGAAAAACTGAAAATTTGCTAACCCAAATTTCAACTTTAACAGATAAGCAAATAAAGCTCCGAAATGCAATTGAACAAAACAATTTAGACAGATTGGTTTCCCTAAAATACTTATAATGTGCAGAAAACTTGGTAATTGAACTCAATTCACAAACAAATTTCCCAAAGGTTTATAATATATGGCCCAATTACAATATCCCAAAAAATGGGTCCTTTCAAATTCAAGCAAATATTTAGTAGATAAGAAATAATTGGAAGAAAATGACCAGTTATGGTTAGAAATACCTTGAAATGCACCAACTGCTTTCTGGGTCTGAAAGCAACGCGAGTAACAGACGAATATGAAAGAGGATAAACCCTTTTATATGGGTTTTGATTGGGTGGGAGGCCCGGTTGGAGAGAATTGAAGGAGGAGGTGAAGGAGGTGAGCAGAGACGAAGAGAAACGCAGTGAATGGAATGGTAATCGAAAAACATCAGCCATTTTACTTGAAAAAAAAAATGGAGAAAATATAGAAAAAAGTAATTAAATAACAGAGCCGTTGAAGATTTTGAGAAAGCTGAGGCGGGTGAGCTCTACACGTACGTGAGGGTCAAAGCCGCCGAAGAAGAAAGGCCATGGCTTTAAAGAAGACCAGTTGTGTGTGTGATAGCATCTAGCGCTGTGTGTGAACCAGAAGACGATGTTAGTTTTTGGTTGATTTTTTTGATGAAAAGTTTTTGGTTGATTTTGATTCTACTTCTTACTCTCCAATTTCAATAATAAAAAATATATTTGAGAGTTTTTCTATTTAAATCCCACATTTTTCTTTGTTAACTTCATATATATATATTTTTTTTAAAAACCAAAAAAGAGAATAAGGCTGTTTTTGTGATTGCATAAGTAACATATGACATAATAACATTACATTTTAGTAATATTTGTATTAGTTTTTGTTGACTTTCCAAGTGGTATTTAATCTAAATTTTTATAATATTTAAAATGAAAATATTGTGTAATTTCGTATTTAACTTCAAAATTCTCTTTATATTAACGTGTTATTTCTTTCTCAGTTAAGAAATTTTTTTTTAGAGAAAAAAGAGAAAGATTTCTAGTGAGTTGATATTTTATATTCAGTAAAGGGTTTTGGAAAAGTAATTGAGTTTTGCATTATTCACAAGAATTGTAAAAGTCAACAAAACTTTAAATTGGCCGTGAGAAGAACCAGGCCGCTAACCATCTAACCCACTTGGGCCATAAAGAGGGTCTGCCTTTTGGGCTGATGCCTTAGATTCGGCTTACCCACACACCCCAAAAACAAAATAAGTAAATAAATAAATAAATAAAAGCAAAGAGAATCACATGATGTTACTAAGAGAACTCTAATCTCTATTGATCTGTTATAAAGATTGCTTTGAATTTAAGAGATTTCAGAAGTGCTGCCAAACACAGATCTTTTTAACTGTCGAGAGATGAATTCCCAAACCATTGAGGTTGAAATAGGGATTGCTCTTTAATATGAACTCAAAATTACATATATTTAGACAACACTAATGTATACTACCAGATGATGTCTCTTTACAAAGCTACAGAAATTACAACTCAGCATTTAGAGGCGGGATCCTGTTCGTGGTAGCTCCTATTACATGAAGCAAACAGATGGAACAATACTTTCTATTATGCTTCATCATGCTTCAAATAGTGTACATCACACTTGCCTGAAACAAAGCATGTCGCAAAGAGTGAGCTCATGGATCAGGAAGTAACTGATACTGCCACCTTTCTGCGATCTTTGTATTCATGACCTTATAACCTTGCAAAAACATAATCATATGGTTCCGTGATAGCCGAATTCGCCAACCACCGCTCAATCTTCAACCAGCTGACTCCACCTGGGATATGCTTGGGGGTGGATACTAAGCACTAGGCAAAAGAACAGACTTTGAAAATGATAGAGATCCATTGTTAGGCGCACCCTGAATATTAAGAATCGTAGTGACCAAGTTGTATATGTGGACATTTTCAAAACTAGGAACCTTGCGACCTCTTGCAAACTGAGGACCATGCCCAACGAATATGGTTCTCATGGAAAATACGGCATTGTCATAACCATGTGATCCTCCACATTCTCTCCGCTTCGTCCTCTTTTGTTCTACCTTAAACCCCTCTTCAACCAACCCTATTATAGGTGGAATCCGATCACTCGCTGCATAATGGAGCCTACTAGGAAGCTCCTCCTTAAGATACATTCTCAAATTCTTCCCATTCTCAACTTTCCCCGATTTCAATCCTTCGTTCATCTTAGCAACAACATTCGAAGGATCAATTCCTGAAGGCGGACGAATAGCAAGTAATGGAGTATGTGACAGGACCCAATTATCAGGAATTTCAATCCAAGAGGCCAAATCATCTAGGTAAATTAGCTTTTTATCACAAGTACCAACCATCCCATGATCACCCAACAAAATTATAGTAACATCCTCAAAGACCCCTCTTTTCTCTAAACCTTCAATCAACCTCCCAATCATCCTATCAATTCTAGCAACAGCTTCAGTAATCTCAGGATCATCAGGCCCAACCTGGTGACCCTGATGATCAGGGTCCTCAAAATACAGAGTCATAAACGCAGGAATTTCACTACTAGGCAGATCAAAGTAGTTCAAAACAGTATCAACCCTTTGCTCAAAAGGAACAGAACCATTATACTGCATGCAAAGCTTTTCAGGGCAAGTCCAAGAACCTTTATTTACCTCAGAACCAGGCCAGAAATAAGTGGCAGCCTTCAAACCATGATTGACCACAGTCTCCCACAAGGGCTCACCTAGCCACCACTTGGGTTCGTGGCTTCCCATGTTGAAAAACTCCCCTGTGTGCGGATCCACAAAGTGGTTGTTGACTATTCCATGATAAGCAGGGTAAAGACCTGTGACAATTGAGTAATGGTTAGGAAATGTTAGAGTCGGGAACACAGGAATCAAACCCTGCTCGGCCTCGGTCCCATTGGCGATGAGTCTACCGATATTCGGCGTCGGAGTCTTGAATTGGTACCCGAATCGAAACCCATCTGAGGAAACTAATAAAACCACTGGATGGTCAAGTTTTGCTAAAGCCCGAGCCTTGGATTCGACTGATGTGGAGTTGTGTGCGGGCGTTGCTGTGGCCTTTGATGGGTTCGAGAAGAAGAGGAAAGCGAAAGCAATAGCAGCGGAGAGAGCTATGCAGGTGATCAACAAGAGAGAGATGAAGATGATGGTGGTGCTGGGTTTGTGAGAACGGCATGAGGTAGAAGGTGAGGAGGTGGATGAGTCTGTGTTGAAAGAGAGCAGAGCCGTAGCTGGGTTTGGAAGCTCTTCATCTTGGGTTGGGATCGGTGTGGGTTTCATGGGCAACGAATCCGAACCCATTTCGACAAACCAGCTAATTTCTTCTGGTTTTTCTTCAATGGGTTCAGAGAACTGGAGAATTTGTGATGTGGGTCTTGCTGTTGAGCTATGGAGAAAGAGAAAGAGAGGGGCTTGAGTAAGATGCAAGGGTTAAAGGTTTGGTCTTGTTGTTGCAGACAGTTTGGTGGAAGGTGGCTTTCAACTTTCAAAGAAGACGACTTGTTAATGGTTTTCAACTTTTCTGTGGACCTGCTTTGAGCTGGAAGGAAGGTATGTACGACAACGGATTGGTGTTGGATATTCCAATTCTACGTAAAACGACTTGTCGTTTCTGTCCTCTCCCTTTCCTTTTTGTTGACGACGTCGTTTGACCCTTCACTCTCACACAATCAAGCAAACAAGAAATAAAGGTGTCTGCTTACTGAGGGAGGAGTTTGAGCAGAAAAATGGCGTACTTGAGCATGGGAGAGGCCCACAGGAGAATCAACGACTACCTCAACCGCTTCTCCGACGCCGTTTCGACCCAGGACGGTGCTTCCCTCAAGCAGCTCCTCTCTCTCTCATCCAACAACCCCGCTATCCTCTCTCTCGCCGATGCCCTCAACGTCTTCCAGGTCATGCATTTACATGAATGTGTATTTATATATGTATTTGTTTCAATTGGAATTTTAGGGTTTTGATTTGTGCTGTTATTATGTGTGACAGGACGCCAATAGATTGATTAAACAGTCCGATAACGACACTCAATTTGGTGAAATTCTGGTTCATCTGTTCCGTGCTTTTCAGAGTTACCGAGTCGGGAGCTTCATTGATTCTTACCAAGCCTTTGAAAAATCTGCAAAGTATTCATCTTTTAGATTGGTTTTGATTAATTCTGTTATATGTATGTAATTTTATATCTGGTATTGGTATTTGACTATTGGTGGTGGTGGATGTGCAGTGCTTTTATTCAGGAGTTTAGGAACTGGGACACAGCTTGGGCTTTGCAAGCATTGTATGTTATAGCCTATGAAATTAGGGTTCTAGCCGAGAGGGTAAGACCCGCAATTTCCCTTTTCTATTTTTTTCCCTTTTAATAAAAGAAAAGAATAATATGTGCTTTATTGTTGACCTTTCACAAAATGTGTGCTTTATTTTGTTACTGGTTGTGGATATATTGGGAAGGCGATTCAAGTGAAACTGTTATGTGTGGCTTTGTAGGCTGATAAGGAATTGGCTTCAAATGGAAAGTCCCCGGAGAAGTTGAAGGGAGCTGGTTCTTTCCTTATGAAAGTTTTTGGTGTTCTTGCTGTAAGATTTCTTACTTTGATATTCAATTTCTTTCGCTTTTCTTACAAAAACTTTGGTTTGTAGTTTTTCCTCTCTGAATGAAAGTCGATTGTTTTACTCCTGCTTCTATAACATTAACATTTGCATTTTTTTTTTCTTGGATTTTTGTGAAAAATACTACTATAAATTCAAAAACTAATGTCATTGTTTATCCTTATGAATCCATATTGCTAACTCTTTCATTATTGGTAGGGAAAAGGACCAAAACGTGTTGGAGCATTATACGTGACTTGCCAGTTGTTTAAAGTTTACTTTAAGGTAAGATTTTGTGCACAGTTATGAATTTATTAATATTTTTCAAATATATCTGAATTAGCTATTAGGGTCTCTTTTGAATTCTGAGTAAACCACACGGAACCTGAGCTGCATCATGATGAACTATCTTTTATTACTCTGCAGCTTGGTACAGTTCACCTTTGCCGCAGTGTGATAAGGAGCATTGAAACTGCAAGAATATTTGATTTTGAGGAATTCCCTAAGAGAGATAAGGTAGGAATTGACTTTGATTGAGCAGATGCGATTTTCTTTCCTTTTCTTTCCTTCTTCCCCTCCCCTTTTGAATTGTGCAACTAGTTTTTATGTTTATTCTCACTGTTGTACTGTGATATGCAGGTCACTTACATGTATTATACAGGCCGCCTAGAAGTTTTCAATGAAAATTTCCCTGCTGTAAGTAACCTAATTTCCATGGTTTAGTAGTGTGCAAGTTTCTTGTTTATTAAGTTATTTAAGTGGTGTTTTTGGTCTTGGTTCGGGGTCACACTCTGGATTCTGGAATTTAGAGACACTTGATAGAGAAATGAGCAGTTCCATCCTGTGTCTTATGGTCATTTTAAATAATGAAATTGGATTAGATTCACTCACAGCAGATGTGTCATCAGATTATAGATTTGATATCAGTTGGTGTCTTATCCTATACTGAATTCACTTATTTCTATGCATGTGAAAGCTCTAGAACTGAAAATCTAGGTTTTCTTCAGCCGTGCTATTGACTAAATTGACTTTTGTCACCTCGCAGGCCGATCATAAATTGTCGTATGCCTTGAGGCATTGCAATCCACAGAGTGAAGCAAATATAAGGTTCGGTTCAGGTGTGCTTGTTGCATATATGTTGCATCTGCATGATAGACTTTATGGGGTATCTTTGTAGAGAAAATGATTGTTGTTGTGCCTATATATTCTTTGGCTTGAATCATCTTTTTATTTGTATGATGTTGATACTAGAATTTGATTTTGATAATTGGCCAAACTGATCCTCTAGTATCTATCTATCATAATAAGACAGATGGATGATCATTTTACTTCTATTCTGTTAAATTGATGGTGTTACCTGAATCTAAAATTCAACATCTCTTACAGAAATGGTTGTATACATCAATATCCTTCTAATTTTCTGCCGTTTTAGGTTTATATTCTTACTCGTCATAAAACATCTTGTGAGAAGAAGTCTAACATGAGATTTATAAATTTTGTACCATCCTTTTATTTTCTACTCATTTTTAAATTGTTTGTATTTAGGATGATATTGAAATATTTGATACCCGTGAAGCTTTCAATCGGCATCTTACCAAATGATTGGCTTCTGGAAAAGTATAACCTAGTTGAGGTTTGTCATTCCCTTTGACTTGTTTGTTATTTCCTTTACCTACAAGAGAAATTATTCAATGGGGTTGATGTGAAATGAGTTTATGTTACTTGTATGCTACGTAAATCTATTTACCAGTGTTCTCAATGAAGAAGAGTGTAAACCTTAGCCTGCCCCCACGCCCACTTTCCCGCCTTTTCAAAGCTGTGACTAAATCCTAGTTTACAACTTCTTGCTTTCACAGTATAAGAATGTTGTACAAGCTCTAAAAAGAGGTGATCTCCGACTTCTTCGGCATGCTCTTGAAGAGCACGAAGATCGGTATGCTTGGCTTTCTTTCTGAAAATCTTGAGATAGATAAAAATCATTTTCTGGAAGATGGAAACTGAGTCCCGTTAAAATAAAACAGGTTCTTGAGATCAGGTGTTTATCTTGTCCTGGAGAAGCTAGAACTCCAAGTCTACCAGAGATTAATAAAGAAAATGTAAGTTCCCGTGCCACTTTTTATAGTTTGATAGTAGAATTACTCCGAAGATTCAGTTCATGACTACCACGTGCTCATCCTGCAGTTACATTATCCAAAAGCAGAAGGACCCGATCAAAGCTCATCAGCTGAAATTAGAAGTAATTGTCAAAGCATTGAAATGGCTTGAGATATCCATGGATCTCGATGAGGTGGAGTGCATAGTGGCCATATTAATATACAAAAATCTTGTGAAGGGGTACTTTGCACACAAGAGCAAAGTTGTAGTTTTAAGCAAGCAAGATCCTTTCCCTAAATTGAATGGAAAGCCTGTCAATTCATAGAGAAAATTGACAGAAGTAGTTTGGTGTTGAAAAATATGCTATGTAGATGTTATGGGTTGGCCAGTTTCAGTTCCTCGTCATTGGAATGAAGAATTGCTGCTTTGTACCTGAAAAATGTTGTCAAAGGGAATCATATGGAGGGGTTTGGGCCACATATGAGGCAGCTTATAACGACAAAAGCTATACAAGTCTCTTATTTTTACAGCCCTTGTAATTTTGAATTTTGTGAGTCATGTTTTTCTTTTTTGAAAATCTTGAGAACTCAACAGCCATCATAGATTCATGTTCATGCTCATTATTCACCCCAAATATATATCAATTTTTGTTAGGAATTATGTCTATTTCTGCATTGATGTCAACTCTTCAACCTTGATTTCATCTGTTCTTTATTTCTCCATTTTCTTACATATTTTCATCTGAATATTAACATTGTTATTCCTCAACAGGCGCACTGTTGATGTGTAGTAACCTGCAAATTAGTAAATTAATGGGGGTTAATATTGTTTTACCGCGGTTAATTCTTCTTGCACCTCTGTGCTACCGTGAATTAAATACGTACAAAATCCCAGTAAACAAATAGATGCACAAGCATATTGCCCTTAGAGTGATTCCACCGATGCGCCTAAGGGGAGGGCTGGGGGGGGGTTTGGGCCAAAATCTTGTTATGGACCCCACCGATTGGCATTGCCCGCTTCTTAAAGCGCTTCCACCGATGCGCCTAAGGGGAGGGCTGGGGGGGGGGTTTGGGCCAAAATCTTGTTTCCAGCGGCAAGGGCTAGCCCTGGCAGGAGATGGGGCCCATGAACCCAGGCTAGCCCTCAGACAAGATTTTTCTTAGTTTCAGCTCTAATTTGCTGAAGTCAGCGATGACATTAGCAAAATAAAAAATAAAAGAAATTTCAGATTTCTTTTTTCAGTAAATACTTAGTTGTAGTTTTCACTTCCCACACCAAAATTCTATACAAATTTCTCTCCTCATATTTCATGTGAATAGTTGTTGCCATGGCAATTGGTGGAAACACAACCTTTTGCAAGGGCAGTAACTATTCACGTGAATAGTGGCTGCCCTAGCCCCCCTTGCCATGGCAAAGGGCAAATGAGTGGAATTGCTCTTATAGATAATCAACTCATTGGACAAATATATCAAAAAGGATATCATCAAGAAATTCCAGGCATTAGGCAAAATTTGTAGAGGTTCCATACACCAACCAAACTCCCAAAAAAGGGGAAGGAAAAAAAAACAAACCAAAACAACTGTCACTTCAAATATGTAATTGCTTCAGTACATAAGCGCTCATCATACTATTGGAACATGATCTGAAATATATCCACTTGGCGGTGCACGAAGCAAACTGACCAACTTCAACTTTGAAGCACCATCAGAGTTCAGAGGGAAGGGTAGTCTGTATGTTTGAAGGCATCAGAATATTATAACCATCTGCTGCAGTTGAAACGAGCATGCCAGGAATCTGAGCATGCCAATGAAGTTCTTTGAGGTCTTTTTGTCCCTGTTACCATAAATAACCATGAGTTAAATGACTGAACAAGTGAGGGTTTTTCGAATAGAACAGTCGGTCAAAACTGTTTACCTGATGGACAAAAAGAAGTTGTGGAGGTAAATCTTTTGGAGCATTCACTTGCTCCTTTGTTTTAGCTTTGAATTCTGCCTCCTCTTCCTCATCATTTTCCAAAGATAGATCCCATATTCTGGTAGCGAAAGCCAAATGACAAAATATTTTGAGTTCAGACATAGAAAGCACGAAAGTATTAGGTTTTAATGTAGGATTATCACTCTAATATGGTCTTTAAATATTACTTACGTTAGCTGATTGTCAGAAGATGACACTGCCAAAGTGGAGGCTTCATGTGGACTCCACTCAATGGATGTGATGGGGTGTTTATGGTATTCAAAATGTGCAACTACAGAATCTCCTTCCTACGTGCAAATAGAGGAAAGAGGATAAATAATTTTAGTTGTTGATTATCAATGAACTTAAAAAAAGCATAATTGAACCCAATTTAACACTCATGGTAAATGAATTACAAGAGAAAATGTCAGACGGAACAAGGCATACCTTAAGCAATCTAAGATCGCGAATGGAAAAAGTACCATCATCACTTCCAGATGCCAGCATACAACTAGCCAGCCTAAGAAAAGAAAAATGGTGCCAAGGTCATCATATCATATGAAGCACAAAATGTATCACAACAAACAAAAACAACAAACGTTCAAGATTTAAGCACCTATTCCAAGAAATAACATTCACATCTGCATCATGCGCCTTAAAAGAAGTTGCTGGTGACTTTCCCAGACGGATATCCCATATTGCTATGTTCCCATCCACAGAACAAGAGGCAAATACATCAGGTTCAGTAGGACTCCACTGCAAAGATAAAAGGTAAAAAAGTATCGCTAACGGATGAGAAAATATTAAGGAAAACTACTCTAACTAGATTGTAAGGTTGACTATATGCTTTATAACAACAAATCGAACTTTAGCTTCCCATCTTAGCTACATACTTGCAGATCCTCCACACTTGAAGTATGTCCAATATACGGAGTAGTATCAACATTCCATGTGGAACCTGATGTAGGTTCCCACAAATGTATATAATTCTTGCAATCCCCTTTTAAAATCAAGAACATAAAAAAAAAAAAAAAAAAAAAAAAATCATTAGTTTCAATGAAAAAAGCAATATATTATTAAATGCCCTTGATAGAGAAAAAGAAGATATTGAACTAAGGTAACAATAGTACCAGATAGAAGCCTTCCAGGTACAAGTGGACTCCAGTCTAGAGCAAACCCTTCATCTTTATGCCCAAACTTAACCAATGGAGCCTGGTTAAAAACTGAAGAAGCTCCCTGGCTAACGTCTGCCTCTGATTCTGCTAAAGCATTTAAATGAGAACTGAAGTCCCAAACCTGCAAGAGTAGCAGGATTAATCCATGTTTAAAGTAAAATGTAAATGGTCATTCAAGTGTCAGTTTAATATGAGGAACTTGTATTTAATGTAGTTGTGAGTTTATTCTATTAAACCATATAAGGAACTTGTAGTCATAATCTATTCTTTATACTCAAAATGTGTACATATTTATATAAATTGTAATTGATGAAGAACTCATCCAGGATATAAGGATATAAAGTCTGACCTGCACATGACCAGTATCTGCCCAAGATGCACATATATGGGGATTTTGTGTCATGGCGCGTATACGATTAACACATCCTTCATGAGCTACCTTGCGCAACTGTACATGAGAACAAGAAACATGGATATGCGCATAGATGAGATCAAAACTAAGCAAGATGAAGGTGAGATGAATCATGTCTGGGATGTAACAAAATATTGCCTGCAAAACCGGTGCGCCAGATCCACCAGCCTCCTCATCATTGCTATCTTCGTCACTATCACTATCCTCACTGTCCATATTAGAGTCTTCATCTGCAGGTTTGGCAGGCACTGGTTCGCGCTTTTTCCCAGAAATGTTGGATACTTTAAATATTCCAAGAGAGTTCCAAGCAGCTTTCTCTGCCTGCACAACAAGAAGTTTGAGTATTCACCATCACTATCGGATGGGTGAAAGAAAAGCGAGAGATAAATCATCAGAAATTTAAGAGATAAAGCTCACCTGAGTCCCGGCAACGAAATACACTGTATGGGGGAACTCTGTCCGAACCAACCCCAATGTATCTCGTACAATATCAAAGCTGTCAAAAGTAATTCACTTTTAGCAGTGAATTGGAAACCTCTAAAACATAATTCAATACTCTGCGTAAGCCATAAGAGTTTCCGACGTTAAAAAGCTAATCATTAACAGCCAAAAAAACAATAAAAAGCAACAGGTGTATGCTTAGTTCAACTTAGTTATGCTAAGTTCAGCTAACCAAGCTCCAACTCTTCAAACCCAGAATTCAAAGTTTAAACTTAAAGCCTTTCCTGCAATTTCTGGGCAACCAAAAAGAAGAATAAATGAAATTCAGAGCAACCTTAAACAAGGCCAACCAATATGGAAGGCATGGAGAGAATTGTAAGCTGATGGGTCACACTGGAGCTCTTCGCCTTCCTCCAACTTGTCCACCCCTGGTTGCCATACCTTCGCAGGCATCGATGGTATTGCAGAGGAAGAAGACCCATCTCCTTTCTTTGAGCCCTAAGCAAGAATTCAATTCGATTGAATTGGTGAAAGATAAACCCCAATTGACTGAAGTAATTAAACAATTAAAGGCGATGGAAGTGGATTGGAGCTGACCTTGTTCTTTCTCTTGGCTTTCTTAGGGTTCTTGATGCTTCGGACCATTTCTAATCTGCAGGTTTTCCAGAAACAGAGACTGATGAAGCAATGAGAAACAAAGCAAACCGAAGAGAAAGAGGGGTTTTGGTGGGGCTAGGGTTTTAGCTTATCGGGCTTCAGGCTTCCTGCTAATAAAAATGCTATATTTTTCCAGCCCAAAAATAACTTATTCATAAAACAAAAGGGCCTGGGCTATTGGGCTAAAACTGACTGCTTTATCCGTTTGGGCTACAAAAACGAAAAAACAAAAAAGTGCCTGTAATGGCATTACTTCTAGAATGACTGACTTATTTGCAAAAGTCTTGTACATGTTGTTGAAAGGTTTGAAATTTTTATTGGATGCTTTTGACATGTTCGTTTAATCCTTCATGGTTCGAACTTCTCATAGTCCGATTCCTCTCTCTCTCTCTCTCTCTCTCTCTCTCTGGTTCTGTATTTTGTAGAGCCATTTTCCTGATTTGGAAATTGGAACATCTGATATGCACCTCACATCACATTATTTATGTCTAATTTTTCAATGGTTCTATTTCTACTTGGATGGAAGTTAGAAATAACTTTTTTGTTTCTATCTAATATTGCTGTCAACTTTAGGTACAGCGGCTGGATGGATGCATTGCAGATCATATAAATGGCTGAAGGTGCCCTCTGAACATCCCCTGTGTTGCATGGCATATTCCAGCTTCAGCTTTTGCACGCTTAGGGACCATTTCAAATTTACAGGGAAGCATTGAGGAATGATTAGAATACAAAAAGTTTGCTAGAATGTCAAATAGAGAAAAAGAGTTGCCTTTATAGGGGGCAGCTTGTGGAATTTTTTTTTCCATCCTGCCCCCTGTGTTGACAGATTGGGCATTTGAATTATCTCCAAGTAATGACTTGTACTAGACTTGGTTATGTTTTCCTGTAATATGCATGCAGGAATAAGATTTCGAGATGTGACTTCTGAAATTAGTTTAGTTTCCAAAGAGGGAATAAGATTTCGAAAGTGCGCTTATTTTTAGCGATGGTATCAGCACCAGTTGCTATAGCTCTGTTTTCCCACGCCTAGCGACGGTTTATTTGGCGCTAAAGGTCCTCGCATAGGCACAAAAACCGCAGCCAATACTGAAACACCGTCACAAAAATTCGAACAGTAACAGTAACAAATTAAAGTGTTTTTTCTGTTTTCAGGTAGGCCTTTCTTTTAATATCCCTAAACTACTATTGGCAATTTGGTAAACCCTGTAGAAGGTGCAATGAACTTAACAAAATTCGACAAAGGTAATAGTAAAGGCATCTTTCCTCAACCTTCTTTTCTTTTTTTTCTTTTTTTATTTATACAAGCGATAATTGACATTAAACTAATCCTAACTATGCAGAGGGGGGATTCGAACTTTGGTGCAGAGTGAAGAGCACATCCGCGCTAGCTAATTTGGCTAAGCCCATCTCAGCATTTTCTCAATGTTTTAGATCCAATTAATGTGACACTTTTTAAATATTCAGAGCCACAACCCAAAAAAAACAAAAGTATTTACATTAATAAAAGATATGGTATTTTTGATTAATTTTATACTAAATAATCCTTGTAAATTGGACCAAATCTCTCTCCTCACGTCATATGTTAGATGAGGAAAGAGATGGGCATGAGAGGGTAAACACTGTAGCATCCAATCCTTAAGTCCTAGACGGGCCTTGCATGACGACGGCGCCATTTTGCTTGTATACTACAAGCTGCCAGATGTTGCCACCTCTCCAACTGGGACTCCTCTATATGACCGAGCCTCTTGCTAAAATGCCACCAAAATGTGGAGACAACAATGTTCAAGTTGTTGGCTCTGATGGCAAATGCTTCAACTTTCGTATGGGCCTTGACAATTCTGGTTGACTTGGGAAATTCAGAAAAAGAGCTCAATTCTGATGCCCAATTTAGAAGCTCTTCTCCGTAGAAGTCACCTTTCACAAGACACTTGATCGCTGAGGAACCACTTGCATTAGTTGGGTATGACCATGCCGTACCTTGGGTGATGAAGAGCATCTTATCAAGTGGTTCTCCCTCTCGAACAATATACTTGTCTTCGCTATACTTCACGAACTTAAGATGCTCACAGATTGCTTTCAACACGTTTTCATTCATATTTTCCAGCATTGGGACCTATATAATATTAATTTTATTCAAGAAAAAAACAAAGAGAATAAATTAATCTAGCAAGGGATATAAATTTATACTAGCTAGGAATACGAACGCATGCATGTTATGTTATGATGAAAAATCCAATAAACATGTACATACTTTTTTCTTTACTTCAAAATCTTGTAATATATATATTCCATAATTTGGTAGACAAATTAAGTACTTACTTTTTTTAGTAAATTCAAGCTGAGATGCCGCAAAATACGTCTTTGGTGTATAATAGGAATAAGAGAGAGAACATTCTCCACATCAACTTCTTTGTTTTCTTCAAGTTTTTGGTGCAAGTTTTTCGTGATGACCATCTTCAAATTCTTATCACAAAGGGCGTTTTTATACAACCATAAATCTATATCTAGATTCATCATCTGCATCTTTTGTCTCAATTTAAGCTGACTTGATCTTTGTTGTGACATCTGCATGCGGTTAATTTTATAACTAGTTGGAATGAGATGTGAAAAATAAATGGTTTAGATCTTTGAAAAATCCTCAATAGAATAAGACTATATATATATATATATATATATAAAGGCTAATCACACAAACCTGTATCCTTGTATTGAGATATAATAAAAATAGCACCATGCCACTTATAGATACGAAAATCGAAAAAACGATTTCCCCCCAATAGAGACTAGTCTGGAGGTTTGAACCTAAAGAACTGCAAAATTAAAAAAGACAATATATTAGATACTAACGTCTAGGCAAATTCTTCAATAAGTATTTTATGTTAAGAATTGTTTACATATTTCTAATCTTGACTGTTGGATTGCATATATATTGCATATTAAATCTATCAACACATCTAATGAATGCAATCCAATGGCCGAAATTAGAAATATGTAACCAATCTTTAATTAGTACTTATTATAGAATCTCCCCAGTGTCTAAATTGAAGTAGTAACTTTAGTGCACGTTATATTTCCTTCACCAAATTTGAATAATAGTATAAAAGGATACATATAGTAAATGGAGTCATTCCAATAATAATATGGCAAACACGGGTAAAACCTCTCCAGTGATCTAAGTCAACAGAAGAGCTGAAACTATCTGGAGAGAATCACTCTCCAAAGTAACTTTTCTATAACCCCTGTCAACTGTCATAATTTCCTTGAATCTAGTCCAATGACATTAAGGACAAAAACTAGCCTCTAACCGTCTTGATTCTCCTAGATAGACTAAGGACACCCGGCGAACTCAACTAAGTTTCTGGAATCATAAGAGAGAAAAACACAGAAAACTCATAGAGTTTCTGGAATTTATTGAACAAAGTAAACAAAAAAAATTAACTAAAACAACGACGGCAAAAGGAAAATTAACCGTCACTAATCTTCCTTTAGGACATGACATAGGGAGCGCCACCTAGTAACTCCAGGGCCTCAACACACAAATAAGCAATCAATCTACCGTGACCAAGCCAAAACACCTCAAAAAGTAGCCTCACAAGATGAGGCATAACCAATACCGGCCTAGAGAAGAGTAAATCGATATAAGTCCACTAAAAACCGAAGAACAACGAAGATCCAGGGAAAAACCCTCTGGATCTAAAGCTCTCTCTCTCTCTCTCTCTCTCTCTCTCTCTCTCTTAGCAGTTAGGATTTTATAATGTTTCTTGTCTAATGTTGGATGAAGAAGTTTCGAAAGAAGAAGTTCTTTTCGAAACTCATTTAATTGACCCAATGACATAATACAACCATTTAATTTTGTTTATGATAAGCATTAATTAGCTGTGGGATTGTATATAGATAAAGTGAAATACTCTATTAAGAATTTTATGTTTAGAATTAGTTAACGATTTCTAATATCAGACGTTGGATTACATGTATATTGCATATTAAATTCATTGACATATCTAATGAATTTATATTTGAAATTTAGTTAATTAACATCAAACAGTTATGATACCTCAGATTGCGCAATCCCCACCAGAAACTTTGAAGGAAGTTTCGTTTAATAGACGTTGACCTGGTCAAGTCAGACTGAAGAGCGTAGAGAAATATACCAAAATCGAAGATAGTTGCATCTGGTGGATTTATAGGGCATGATGCCTTTATATGCGTGATATTGAGATGCGATTTGTTGGAGGTAATGTCGACGCCACAGTAGAAAGACGGTACCAAAATCGAAGGATAACCTGTTTGAGCGAGATCACATCCCGCCCTTTTATCGTGACAGGCATGCCCCCAACAATCTACCTCTCGTTGAAGAGAAAGACGGTACCACAAGGCTCCGTATAGCTGAAGGACACCAGCAAGCAAGGCAGTTAATAATAATATAATCTCAAGTTTAAAAAAATATTTTTTATACAAAGTAAAAGTAATAATGGAGAAGAGGAATAATAACAAATTGAGTTAGAAGCCCCTCGTGTTTTTTTTGTTTGATATAAAGCCCCTTGTTATTTTGGGGGCGGTTAAATGCGTGAGTATGGTCTCCATGAAATGACAAAATCATTTTAGACGAAGTTTGTTTCAAACGTACTAGACTCAAAAAATTAATTTAGAATCAATGGGGTATAGCCTAATAGAAAATGACATTTACTTGTGGACTAATGTTTTGAGGTTTGAACCCTCGTGGAACATTGACAGTGTGTGTGAAAAAAACCTCTCTCCCCCGATATTGCATGAATGAAAAATATTATTTAGGCATTAAATTGTGACAAATAATTTAGGTACTAAATTTGGACAGAAGCCAAAGTTCGGGTTCCCAAATTGGAAAAAAAACCCCCCAAATTTTAAATATCCATTCAAACACATCCAGACATTGATAATGCAAGTTTACTTAAGGAAATTTTTGTGCTAAAACTAAATTAAAGTAAGCTGAAATATATATATATATATATATGAGAGATAAGATTGAAACTTACATGAGCGGCAAGGATGAAGGGAAGAAAATCCAACAAAGCATTAACCCTTCTTCCTGTTTTAGTTTCTATGTTAGTACACCGCTTGAGAAGCTTGTATGTGTGATGAATCCGTAGTGTATATTGGGCCGGAAGAAGAAACTCATATAGTGGAGCAAATAATATTGATAGCTGGAAACATTACATGATGGTTTAAGCCAAATTAAATCTGATATTATAAAAAGTATATTAAATAAATTACAATAATGATATGTTGTATTTCACATATGTTACATTTTTAGTTATCCACATCTGGGTCTATTGGTGATTAATTTGCAGCTGCAGCTATACCATGCATGCGTGTGTGTTGACACTAAAACAAATTGTTGAAAAGCAAAATATTGAATGAAATTGACAGAATAGAAGGCTTATGTTGATTACCTGTGGAATGGAAAGAAGACGAAAAACACGAGGTAACGCCAGAATAAATGATTTCTTTCCTATTGTTTTTCTTTTTCTGGAGGAGGCCCCAGTTGTCTTAGCATTAGGCTTGCTACGAATCAGCCGCCCACCAAAGGTGTCCATTACATAAAAGAGATCTAGGGCGGATCGTAAGCCCACAAATGACCACAACAAGTATACGTCAAAATGGTAGCACGTACGGGCCCCATCTACGACAGTAATGTAAGGGTAAAAAGGATCAAGGAAGACAGCAGATACACATGATATCGTAAATACTATATCCCACTTTCGGAGGAACGTCGTTGCTGGCTGCTCATCATGTGGACCAAGAATCTCCTCTGTTGTTGGCCATTGTCCACTTGATCTGTGCCCTCCAGCTTCATCATGATCAACACTAAACAAGACACACAAACAAACAAGCATTTAGATACAAGTTTTTCTTTAAAAGAAAAAAGGAAAATGTTCTGAGAATTAAAGGAAGAAACTAGCCTTTAAATCAGAAGACAAAAACTGACTAACTAACCTTATGGGCTTTACAATATTTGTGACTCGTTATAATGAAATCGTGAATACCACGACGACTAACTGGGGACCCAAAGGACATTCTATGTACAACGAACCCCTAGTTCTTTATAACTGTAACTTAAAAACGGAAAAAAAAAAACTAACAGAACCTAAATCTCTATATATATATATAAAGCAAAAGGCATTATATATATAGATTTAGGCGTTAGTGTATTGGATGGGGACAACTGTATGTGATTGAGCTTAAATGAAATAAGATAATTTAGAAACAAAGTGTTCCGAGAATTAGAGACTTTTAATCAGGAATTAAGGGAGCAAAAACTAACCTTATGGCTGTTGAGTCATGATTGGAGACCCCCATAACTCAAGCTTATTGATGAGCAGGAGGAAGGAGCTTGTTATAAGCCCCCTGCGAATAGTCAAATATGTGTGTGGAAAACTAAAAGTTCGATAGAATTATCAAATTTTGATATAGTCCTAGTGAGAATACCCCTGCTAACCTGAGACTAAAGAGATGATTCATATAAAAAAGATGGAGAGAGAGGTTTAAAGAAGTGCATTGAAACTTATACCAGTGCTTGCAGGATACACCCTGGAGGAGAGAGAGAGAGAGAGAGAGAGAGAGAGAGAGAGGAACAATATGGACAGACCGAAGAGAGGAAAAATGTCTTTTGGCACCAAAAATAAAAAGAGAGAGAGAAGATAAATGTCTGGATTTTATTTCAAGTACGGCCCAATAAGATGAAATAATTTTGCTTCCACTAGGCTTTCTGCTTTTTTAATTGTCTCTTTGTGCTAGAGACCTGACCTACTTCGCTTATGAATTGTATTTTGAATGATTGCCTGGTTTGAACAGTGATTAATGTATCTAATTGTTTTATGTCATCTTAAAAGACAATTCCACAAAATAATGTTGGCTCCTGCAAATAGTCAAATATTATGTTTGTGGAAAACTAAAAGTTAGATATAATTATCAAATTTTAATCTAGTCCTAGTGAGAATCCTTGCTAACCTCTGAGAGAGAGAGAGAGAGAGAGAGAGATGGAATTTTTCTAAGTATATATATGGTCCACTTATGTGACAAATGAAAATAGGCAATCAAAAAAGTCGAATTTTTTTTTAAAAAGTATTTCATAATCTATGACTCAAAAAAGTTGGGAGTCATAGTCTTTGGCAAAAAGATGAAATAGTTCAACTTTATTAAAGCTGATCAACTCTCTCTCTTAAAAGCAGATAGCACGCGTCGCAGCTCATTGCATTCATCTTCTCTGATTGTAAAAAAAATGTAAGCAGATAGGGGCGACCTGTAAGTCTTTCCTCGCGAAAGATTTTTTTAGTGTAATCGACACACATGTGAAAATTATGCGGGGTGTTTTCATTCCACTTTATAATATGTATACATATATTAGTTGTCTCATGCATTTAATACCATCTACGGTATGTATCTTTAAAAAATTTGTGCTTATGCGTAAGTAAATGCGGTAGTTTTGAATGAGAAAAAAAATAAGAAGAAGAAGAAGAAGCAGCATCTAATTACCTATGGAGGATATATTATTACCTCTAGAGGTAAAGAAACCCAACCAACGGCGTATTATGTATATAAGAGATGAGATTGAAACTTACATGAGCGGCAAGGATGAAGGGAAGAAAATCCAATATAGCATTAAGCCATCTTCCTATTTTAGTTTCTATGTTAGTACACCACTTGAGAAGCTTGTATGTGTGATGAATCCGTAGTGTATATTGGGCCGGAAGAAGAAACTCATATAGTGGAGCAAATAATATTGATAGCTGGAAACATTACATGATGGTTTAAGCCAAATTAAATCTGATATTATAAAAAGTATATTAAATAAATTACAATAATGATATGTTGTATTTCACATATGTTACATTTTTAGTTATCCACATCTGGGTCTATTGGTGATTAATTTGCAGCTGCAGCTATACCATGCATGCGTGTGTGTTGACACTAAAACAAATTGTTGAAAAGCAAAATATTGAATGAAATTGACAGAATAGAAGGCTTATGTTGATTACCTGTGGAATGGAAAGAAGACGAAAAACACGAGGTAACGCCAGAATAAATGATTTCTTTCCTATTGTTTTTCTTTTTCTGGAGGAGGCCCCAGTTGTCTTAGCATTAGGCTTGCTACGAATCAGCCGCCCACCAAAGGTGTCCATTACATAAAAGAGATCTAGGGCGGATCGTAAGCCCACAAATGACCACAACAAGTATACGTCCGAATGGTAGCACGTACGGGCCCCATCTACGACAGTAATGTAAGGGTAAAAAGGATCAAGGAAGACAGCAAATACACATGATATCGTAAATACTATATCCCACTTCCGGAGGAACGTCGTTGCTGGCTGCTCGTAATGTAGGCCTCATCATTTGGCCCGCAGGCCGATGGGGGCCCGCCCGGCTCATTGGAAAAAAGTCCAGTCCGGCCTGTTATGGGCTTTAAGATGGCCCGGCCCGCCTTGGGCCGGGCTAGGCTTGGACTTGGGTGTCTAAAGTCCGGCCCGGCCCATAGGCCCGGCCCGATTAAGCCCAAGAAAGCCCGGCCCGACCCACCCACAAAAGCCCGGCCCGTTAGGCCCGCATAGATATATAATTATGTATAAATAAGAGTTTAGGATTAGGATTATATCACTTAAATCACATATATAATTTGTTTCATTTCATTTACTTTTCTTTACTCATTCCTAGTTTATAATTGGATGATTAGCACATTAATTTGTGTCAATTATTAATACAACAATTATATATATATATGTATATATAAATAAGATGAACAATATATCATATCACTAAACATAATCATATCACGAAACATAATCGTACTACTACCACCAAATATAATCATGTTTTTCTTGAACACATCACCAAACATTTACATATTTATTTATACCATCCTTTAAAAAAAATATCTTTTTGATACTTATTATTTTTTTAAATTATTTCTTAAAACGTATTATGGTCTAATTATGTAATAACCTCAAAAATAATACTTTGTTTTATTATTTTTGTGGAAAATCTTATTAAGTTGTGTGACTTTATTGAGTATTTTATGAATTTGGTTTGATGTGAAAATATTGGAATTAAGTGAGTTTAATCTCAAATTTAGACTAAAATGCCCTTATGATTAAGTTTATGATTTTTTTCGAATGAAGTAGGCCCGTTTCGGCCCGGCCCGTTGGGCTTAGCCCAGCCCGGCCCAATGGGCTTTCTCAAGCCCGACCTATGGGTCGGGCTTAGGCATTGAATTTTCTAAAAAAACCCGACCCGGCCCGATATTTTCTCTCTCCTCTTTAAAGCCCGGCCCGGCCCGGCCCAAGCCCGTTAAATTTGGGCCGGGCTAGCCCGGCCCGGCCCATTGACGAGCCCTATCGTAATGTGGACCAAGAATCTCCTCTGTTGTTGGCCATTGTCCCACTTGATCTGTGCGCTCCAGCTTCATCATGATCAACACTAAACAAGACACACAAACAAAGAAGCATTTAGATACAAGTTTTTCTTTAAAAGAAAAAAGGAAAATGTTCTGAGAATTAACGAAAGAAACTAGCCTTTAAATCAGAAGACAAAAACTGACAATGTTTGTGAAATCGTGAATACCACGACGACTAACTGGGGACCCAAAGGACATTAATTCTTTATACTTGTAACTTAAAAACGACCAAAAAAAAAAAAAAAAACTAACAGAAGCTAAATAAATAAGGAAAAAGTTTGGCTCCTCAAAATTGAGGAGGAGTTCCTCTGGTTTTGACACGTGTCAAATTATTTTAATATTCTTTTTTTTTGTTGTTGAAACTTTGTCAATGTTACTGGAATTTGATAAATCTTAAAGAGCCAAGCCATGCTCCATAAATAATAAGCAGCTCCCCCATCATTTAGGACAATACTTCCATCCTTACCCATAAGGAGGAACTCCTCCTTACCTTCTATTTGTCATCATGATTGTGTTTTTTAGAGTTCCTTGCTCATTACAGTTGCTACATCTTGATCAAAAGCTGCAGTGTATTTCTTTGTATGTTGCATGAGTTATTGGGCATGGTCGAAGGGTAAGGAGTGGGATGTAGTAGTGGTATTGGGCGTGGTTGAGAGCTACGTCTCCCTCCTCTGTTTTTTGTTCTTAGTTTCCCTTAATATTTCATGTATTTTGCTCCCTTTTTTTTTTTTTTTTTTTTTTGGGCGTGGTTAAACAACTGCCATCTCTCTTCTTTAGTTAGCGGTCGAAGTGGGGGCGGCGGGGAGGGTTGATGATGTCGATTTGTGAAGCCAAATTGGGGTCATGTGTAGTGAGGTTGTGGGCGTGGGGTTATTGGGTGTGGTTGTGGGCGTGGCTGTCGTTGTCGTTTTGGGTGTTTGGTGTATTGGATGGGGACAAGTGTATGTGATTGAGCTTAAATGAAATAAGATAATTTAGATAATGGCATTTTTCATAATTTTGATGTGTTTTCAGTGTATTATTGTAAAATTATATGCCACTTTTTGGCCATTCACCTTGACCAAATTAGGTGAAATTTTATTATTATCTACCATAATAGTAAACTCCCAAATGACTATAAACCAAAACTCCATTTAAATTAAAATTTTTAAATCAGTTTTTTTCTCCATCCTTATATTAAATCCAATAGTGGATGACTACAAATTCCTTGGACCATAGAGTCCAGGAGAATTGGGATGGAGGGTTTCATTTCCCCCAATTTCCCATTTGACATGGAACCATTTCCCATACCTGAACTTATCAAATATTTGATTTCTCATTTACATGCCCCATTTCTCATGAACCAAATGCACGATAAGTTTTTTTTACATTCTCTATCATTTAATTTCTCATTCTCATTCTCTATTTTTTTTTCATTTTGTAAATAAATCTATAAAAAAAAATCATTTCCTTGGTACGTATAGGATCTTTTGTTTATACATAGAAAAGTTTAAAGAAAGAAAATCTGACCTTTCAACCAGGAATTAAAGAAGAAGGAAAAACTAGCTAACCTTATGGCTGTTGAGTCATGACTGGAGTCCGCCATAACTGAAGCTTATTAATGATAGGATATGTCCTATGAAGTATGAGCAGCAGCAAGAAGCATGTTAAAAGCCAGTACCACAAAAGTTGGATATAATTAGCAAGTCCTAGTAAGAAGAGAAGCCCCCTGCTATAACCTGAGACTAAAGAGATGATTCATATAAGATGGATGGAGAGAGAGTTTAAAAGTGCATTGAAACTTACACCAGTACTTGCAGTAGTGATACTCTACCTGATCAGTTCATTGAGAGAGAGAGAGAGAGAGAGAGGGAGAGAGAGCACGAACAACACGAGGTAGAATGGGTAACTAGGATGGTTCTTGCCTTAACTGATTTCTCTCCTCTTGTTTCCCTTTTTGTGGTGGAGGCCCCAGATGTCTTAGCATTAGGCTTGCTACAAATTCGCCGAGGACAAAATATGGCAATGTCCATTGCATAAAGAAGAGAGAGAGAGAGAGAGAGAGAGAGAGAGAGAGAGGAATACTTAGCACATAAGGATGAGAAGACAATGGAATCCGAATCTAAAATTATGCAGTGATAATTGACAAGGGTCTGATTGGTGGTCAAAAAAAGTAGAAAGTTAAAGAGAGTATTTATGCACTGCAAAAAAATTGGACAATAGTCACCTTTTCTTTGGTGACTGTTGGTTACTATTAGTCACCTTTATTCGTGACTACAAGCTTTAGTCACTCTGCAGGAACGATTGGTCAGTGTGTTACATATATGTCCGTAACTATTGATGTTTGCCACCATAATAAACCATTCATGACATGAGTTTGTCAGGCTGTACATCATGTCCAATCACCATCAGTCATACATATTTTATTATTTGTCAGGCAATGCGTCTTTTATTATTTTGTCATGTCCAATCACCCTTAAACCACCAACATCCCAAACCCACCTAACTCCAAACGGAACAAACGGCCTCTCCCGCCCCCACCCAACACCGTCAACCGAACCACCACTTCGCAGGCAGCAACACCATCTCCATCTCCCCTATGTCCCAACCACACGATTTGTTTTATTTTCATTTTGATCTCCCTTAAATATCCTAGCCATATCAAAATCTGCAATTTTGGGGTACATAGAAGCATCTCGTAGAACATTGCTTGTCTTTAGATCTCTATGAATGATTCTTAATCTTGAATATTGATGAAGATATAACATCACCATAGCAGCAATCCCACAGATTATTTCGAAGTATCTTGTCCAATTCAAAAGCGCTCTGTTTTTTTCAAGTATTGATATAATCTTCTGTTCACAGCCTTATCGCTGCTATTCCTTTCCATTGTAAAGCACACCCTGAAATTATAATCCAAACTTAACTCATATTCTTTTGAGGAAACTATTAGAAATCAAATAATGCATGACAACACAAAAAAGTGAAATGATTCTGAGGGCGGCTACCTTATAGACAGAACCAAATCCACTTGTTATGGAAAGAGAAATTGTTTGTCGCGGCTGTGATGTTTATAAGATCAAAGAAACCATATGACGGTGATGGAATCCATATTGCAGTCCTGAAAACCACTTTAGATCCAGCTCTAGAGATTTTGTTCAAGAGACAGAGAGAGGGGGGGGGGGGGGGGGGGGGGGGAAGATGAAGAGAGGGAGAGAGAAACCACAGAGAGAGAGAAGATGAGAGAATCACAGAGACCAGAGAGAAAGAAAGAGAAGATTAAGAGGGAAATTGAAAAAAGAGGGAGTTGTCCTCTAGATTTGCGACTTGTAGGTAGTTGCACTGATGGATGGTTGTTATCTTGCCAGCACATAACAATAGTATCGGCATACATCTCCTTGGCTTTAGTTGGGTACACTCTGTGTAGGGTACACTATATTATATTACTTTTTAATTTTATATTTATTATATTTAATTTGAATGTCACCAATAATGGTGAGGAGTTCATTGCCAACTTTCCCATGTCAGGTTGACCAAAAAAAAAACCTTTCCATGTCACCAATACGTATTGTTTTTCCTACGTTTTATATTGCAAAATTACTATTTAAGTGTTAGATGACTAGTCACAATTAATAGTGACCACTCATTCAAATGTCACCAAAATCTATTTGTTGCTTTAAAATTGTGACTATTGTCTTCTATTTTTGTAGTGAAATTAGTTATAGTATACGTATAATTTTCATATGTTACCTTCATATACGTGTCAAAATGTGACTCAAGAATGACTCTTTACATATAACGAGCACTCTGTGATGACCAACCCGTATAAATTGTGATCATGTTCTATTTCTTTATTTTCTTCAAATGTGACTCAACAAAGCCCGCTATATGCAAATGTTATGGCCTCTGCAGGGTCTATTCATTAACCTAGAATGA